TGACCTGAGCCGAAGGCAGCGGCTTAACCCACTGAGCCACCCAGGCGCCCCAAGTTTTCACATTCTAACACTTCTGGCCACTTGAGTCTATAATAATAGCCACCATTTAATATTCACGTAAACTGTGCCCAGCCCTGTCCTGCGTACTGTGTGAATGATCTCGTTTCATCCTCACGAGTCCTATCGATTAAGAATGTGTGGGCACTGATGGCCAAGAGAGCAAGTCTTCATCCCTCCCCTATCTACTTCCCTTCTGTCTGGGCCTGGTGACCATCACATGTCTTTCTTCTCCCAACTTGGGTTGGGGGTGGGTCCCAGCAGGGCCTTAGTCCTGCCCCATACCCTTTCCTCCTCAGGTTGTTACTCCCTGTCAGTCCGCCTTAGCCGCCCTGCATCGTGGGACCGGATCAGACACTACAGGATCCATCGCCTTGATAATGGCTGGCTGTATATCTCACCACGCCTCACCTTCCCATCACTCCAGGCCCTAGTGGATCACTATTCTGGTATGGCCATTTCCTGCTTCCATTAGACTGGGACGTGGGGTGTGGGGGGCAGACAGTTGTACTCCTGGACACTTCACTTGCTGGAGAATATCCAGACAGGCAGAAGAGGGACCTCTGCATCTCCATACCAATGTGCCAAGAACGTAGGCCAGGACCTCTGTCTTCATCCCATGCCCTGACAGAGCCATAAAGTCCTCCCATGTGAACATGGGCCAGTGCCTCACCTACACTGTGGTTCTGAGTCCAAGACCTCAATGGTAGGCACAGTTCTCTCCACAGGAACTAGGTCCAGAGCTGTTGCTGTTGTGCAATTTAGTTGACTCTCGGCATTTCCTGGTGCTTGTCCTGTTATAGGGACTGGAGCAGGTAGCCACGATGGCAGTGTCAAAGCGGGCAGAGAGGAAAGCCCACGCCTGGGAAAACTGATCAGGGGTTTTCTAGAGGGTGGGTCTGTGCAGTAGATACGGACAGAACACATAGAGATGAAGTATTCTCTAGCTTTCTTCTTCCCAAAGCACTTTCCTAACCAGAAACTGGTATTCTCAAAGAGTACCATCAACCTACCCAAAACCACAGCCAATTCAATCTTCGAAACTTAGCCTAGAATGACCTGATTGCATCTCAGCCCCTAGATCAACAGCTTGAGGCTTGTGTCCTGTCACTTTTTTTAAAAAATGTAATCTCTACACCTGGGGCCTGAACTCAGGACCCTAAGATCATGAGTCTCTATTCACTGAACGAGCCAGGTGGCCCCGTCATTCTTTTTTGAACATGCCTCCACATGCCAAATGCGGAAGGCTGTCAGGGTGAGGGAGGGGGTTGTTAGGGAGGAAAGCGGGGCTGGAGTCAGCCATGTCAAGGGTCTGGAACTCTTTCTTCAGAGTTGGCAGATGACATCTGCTGCCTCCTCAAGGAACCCTGTACCCTGCGGAGGGCTGGCCCACAGCCTGGCAAGTCCATACCCCGACCTGTGACTGTGCAGAGAGCGCCACTCAATTGGAAAGAGCTGGACAGGTAAGGGGACCCCTGGAACATGAAGGCAGAACAAAGGAGATAGAGGGACCCAACCCGGGAACCCACAAACCCGAATGAGCCTGTCACCTTCGGGGACACCGGCAAGCTGGTGAGTACTGACTGATCTCATAGAGACCGACCCAGGCTCAGCAGGACTGTCCCGGGACCGGCAGGAAGGAGAAAGAGGAAGTGGATAGAAGGCATGCCCAGATGCCGAGGATGGCCAGGAGGGAAGTGTCAGACAAGATGGGGTGGAACAGAAAGCACCAGTCCAGAATGGAAAAGTCAAGCTGAGGTTTTGGCTGAGAGAATGGGGAGCCACTGGGAGTTTTCAGGTGGTACGAACTTGAACTGTGTGGTGAGAGCAGGGTGCAGGATGGGGCTCCTTGACCCAACTCTCTTTCCCTCTCCACAGCTCCCTCCTGTTCTCTGAAGCACCTACCCTAGGGGAGTACCCTCTCCTCAGTGAGGGGCTCCGGGAGGCCGTCAGCTCTTACATCAGCCTGATGACAGCTCCTCGGACGGCGCCATGGCCCAAAGCAGAGGCCAAAAGGGGATCCAACGCTACAACACCTAGACGCCCAGCTCAGCTCAGCTCGAGCACTCTAGAGGCAAATTCAGGGTCCCACTTGCATCCTGCGCTCCTTTCTCTCTCGGCCCTAAGAAGTCACTTAACCCCTCCCAGTGTCACAAATCCATCTGCAACCTCTGATTCAAGTGCAGAGCAGCTGAGGACAGGGACAGGGCTCCAAAGAGACGAAACCTCTGGGGTTTGACCCAGTTTGACCTGAGTTGGGATTTCCATCTTCCTCCCCTATTGGAGGGGAGGAAGATGGAAATCTGCCTATTTCCTCCCCTTCAAAACCCCCCACAGCTCCACCCACTAGGTAGAAGCCACCATTAGTATCAAGAAGAAAAAAAAAATCATTTAAAGAAAATTTACAAGTCTCACTCAGAATACCACACTTTGGAAGGTAGGACTATAGCTAGAAGGGATAGGAAAGCAGATGGGATGGATGTCTTCCCACAGCAACAGAACCCGGGATGTCCAGCTTCTACCTGGACCTCAGAGCAAAGGGGACCCCTGACAGTCCAGGTTCTCAAACAGCCCCATCAGGCCTCTTCTCTGGACAGTCATAACTCCCAAGATCTCTATTTCATTTTGTGGCTTATCATGTGAACCTGCCTAACCTTTCCTGGCTACAGTGGCCCTGCCACCTTGTGGCCAAACACAAAATGGCACCTTCTGGGTCTAGCACAGTGCGGTGAGGTCAGTCACGTCTCTCAGCACCAGGCAGGGGCATCAGAAGTCACTAAGCTTCTCTCCACAAAGCCAAGGCCACAGCCTACACCAACTCTAGCCCTTGATTTCTCTGCTGCCCATTAAGGAAAGAGAGGCCTAGCTGGAGCTGCTACAGGAACAGGGAGAGGAGGTGAAGGATGAGGTTGGAGGGCAGGGGTCTGAGGGTAGAGGTGAGGTGGGAAAAGCTTTAACAGATGGGGCGCCTGGGTGGCTCAGTGGGTTGAGCCGCTGCCTTCGGCTCAGGTCGTGATCTCAGGGTCCTGGGATCGAATCCCGCATCGGGCTCTCTGCTCAGCGGGGAGCCTGCTTCCCTCTCTCTCTCTCTACCTACTTGTGATCTGTCCCTGTCAAATAAATAAATAAAATCTTTAAAAAAAAAAAAAAACTTAAAAAAAAAAGAAAAGCTTTAACAGGGATCATCAACAGATTTTCAATTAAAGATTTGATTTATTCAAGTACCCGAAAACATTCTACAATGGAAACTGTTATTAGATGATGCTTACACTGTGCTAATGACCACGCACATACTGCCACACTGTTTTCAGAAAACTTGAAATGCCGCTGATAGTTTAAAAACTGTACACCTGATGGAGAAGTGAGGAAGACTATTTAATGTTTCATCCGGATCCAGAGGTGCATCAAATTAAACGACAGCTCCCATCAGCAAACAGGTGTTTCATGATGATATCCAAGAAGAAATGGTTGGTGATGGACAATTCAGAAATGCTTCTCCAAAAGGCGGTTGGTTCTTTAAAAAGTTTCAGATCACAACCCTTGCAGAAAACACTGATGCCCAACACACTGATTCTCGGTCCAGGAAACACGGGTCTTCCAGGTTCCATGTGGCTGGGGTGTCCCTACAATCATGTTTCTGTGCTGTAACTATGACGGTCCTTTGGACCGGACAGAGAGCAGGTGGGGTCTGTACACCATCAGTCATAGTGGATGGCAGTGTAAAAAATGATCCAAATAACCTAGAGAGAAGACAAGCAATGGTCATAGATCCCCTGGGTCAACACAGGCCCCTATTCCACAAGAGAAATATGTCAAACAATGTATGCACGGTGGGCTTCCAAGGGCTATTCAGTGCAACTGGACTGGAGGCCTAAACAATTTCACTGAAATCAAGCTGTGTCTAACAGAGCCCAGGGTCACCCACCAGTGCTCCCAAAGGGACCACAGACAAGCTTCCCTCTCAACCAAATAGTGACTGCAGCACTTGGGGTAGAGTTATAGATGTGGAAACGATATGGGTAAAGTATCAGGATTAACAACAAACGTGGAAAAGAAACCACCGACATATCCTGTCAGCTTGTCAGCTTCACATCAGACAAAAGCACAGGTTCTCAAAACCGGCTATTCACGGCGATCTCCCGGGACCTTTAGTATGTATGCCCAGGCACCCTCACCCAGCCATTTTGATTTTACTGATTTGAGCTAGGGTCTATAATTTCTTAAAAATTAACTTTTGAGATATAATTCACATTTCATAAAGTTCACCTTTTAAAGTATATAATAAATATATATATATATATATGTATATATATATATATATACACACACACATGCACACACAATACAGAGTTTTTAGTATATTCACAAACTTGTGCAAAGGTCACTAACTGATTCTGGGACATTTGCATCATCTTCAGTTTCTTCCCATTTCCTCACACACACCCACCCCCACCCCAGCCACTGGCAACCACTAATCAACTTTTTATTTGTGTGGATTTGCCTATTCTGGACATTTTACATGTAAATGGAATCACGTAACCTTTTTTTGTGTCTAGCTTCTTTCACTAAGCATAATGTTTTAAAAATTCAAAGTTGTAATCCCTACCAGTACTTTATTCCTCTTTACGGTTGAATACCATATGGCTATACAACATCTTATTTATCTACTGACCAGGTAGTGGTTGCTTATGCTTTTTCAGCTATTATGAATGCCATAAACCTATTTTTAAATGTTTCCCAATTTCTACTATGCAGCCAGATTTGAGAATCAGATGTAGAAGCTGATGACAGGCCCTGGGTGTGGATACCAACAGGGAGACTGCAGTGTACCGTACCACATCCTTTGGGACAACAGGACTTGATGGAGGAAATGCCCTCCAATCCCTGGAGCCTTTTGAAAAATGGCACCCCGATCACACAGTGTAACCCAATCAGTGTGCTCCGCTGGAGAAACAAGAGGATTTACTATTATAACTGTCAGCTATACATACCATGAACAAGGCAAAAGATGTCATAAACCCCTCTTTTGTGAGCTCCCATGTGCCACCATATTCTTCCTCATCTATCTGTAGGTAGTTGCTGAAGTAGAGATACAGGACTCCTGCATTGATCAGGCAGAATCTGGAGGGAAGACAAGCACCGAACACAAACTATGAGCTCAGAAGACTCAGAACTCCCATGACCACAGTCCAGTCTTACCAAGACACTCACGGTTGCAGTTAAGTAGTTGCATGATGGGGGCAAGTGAAAAAATACACGGACCTAGACCCTCAATGGAACTGCCCAGTGGCTGAGCTAGAGACAGAAAGAGCAACTTTTTTTTAGATGCCCAGCAAAAAAAAATTTAAATTTAAAAGCACATAAAATTTCTCCAGGCCCTCTCACAGTAAGACAACATGGTAGCTGAACCATCCCAAATAGGACTAGTACTGGACATGGGCTTCCAAATAGCTCCCACTGGGGTGCGGTGGCTACGGGACAGATACATGTTAGGCTGCTACTTCCTGGCCTAGTGGAATGAGCAAGCACACTAAAGCAGCTCCTGCATCCATTCCCACTGGGAGACAGTGTCTGGATATGCACTGTTGGCTACGCACCTGATGCAATGGTGAACACTGCTGTCCCTCAGCTATTGGTTAGGAGGAGGCCAAAAACAGAGTGAGCAGGGAACTGAAACCAAAGGTTTGTGAGCACCTCCAGGAAAGTCTCTGATTCCCCATCTTGTATTATTTAACTAATAAAGCATTTAGAATGCAGTGAGGTGTAACATTATCATCCTGATCTACTTATCTCTTCATATAGTCACCATGTAAAGGTAATTTTTATGAACAGACCAACACTTTATGATCTTCCAAGTCACAGGATCTGATCTATTGGGGGACTGTATGTCTTAGGTCACACTGCTCCTGAAGGCTGGGGTGGAAAAATGCAAAGAACTGGTTCCTCCTAATGGATGAAGTGTGGGCTGGTATGGGGCAGGGCCGTACAATGCTGTTGAAGAGTGTCAGTCAGTATTAGGGGGCAGACCCTGAGGCTGTTTGAGCACGAGACAGACTATACATATGTCAGAAGTCCAGTTTTTTCGTTTTCATTTTAAAGATTTTAAGTAGTCTCCACACCCAACAGGGGCTCGAACCCCCAACCATGAGATCAAGATTCGCATGCTCTACTGGCTGCGCCTGCCAGGCATCCAGAAGTCTACTTTGTGAGTAGTTAGAGTATGGGCTTTCTCATGAGTTGGGAGAACAGGAGCTGGGAGACTGATTTAGACTTGTACCATGTTTTAGGACATGAGCAGAAATAAAGCTTGAGGACAGGGACTGGGAAAATGGCTGGATGGAGAGTCAAGAAACCCAAAGGCTTCAAGCCTAAGGGCCCGGGAGTATAATAGTTCCAGTTAACAGGCAGGGAGTCAGGAAGAACAGAAGGTTTTTCTTGGATTTCACACAAAATCCAGTCCTTGGCTTGGCCATGTTGTGGCCACATTCTTATCTTCTGCCAAGAATCTTGGGACTCAGCCAATCTGGCTGCCTCTCTCTGTCAGGAGTTTCATTTTGTTTTGTTTTTGAAAGACTGGCTTATTTATTTTAGAGAGAGAGAGCATGCATGCGTGTGCGAGTCGGCAGGGGGGCGGGAAGGGCAGGAGAGGGAGAGAGAATCCTCAAGCAGACTCCTTGCTGAGCGCAGAGCCCAGTGCAGGGCTCAATCCCACGACCCTGAGATCACAACCTGAGCTGAAATCCAGAGTCGGGGGCTCACTTGAGTGAGCCACCCAGGTGCCCTGTGGAGTTTCATTCTGGACAGGCTGTTAGTGGTTCGACAGACTACTAACAGGACTCAGAAATGTCACTCTGGGACTCAGTTAGTAAGCTAGGGATGGAGAATGGCTGAGACTCATTGAGAGTCTCTGGCTGTAAAAGTGGTTGCTTAGTGATAAGAGATAGGGAAGTATAAGCAAAGAGGAGATATAGGATGACAGAGAGAAAAGAGCTAACACAGCCCCCACCTTCTAAGGGTCACAGAAACACAGGCATTTAAATGTTTGGTGGTCAAGGGGGAGGGCTCAGGAAAGGACTGGAGCTCAAACTGAGCTTTAAGGATGGGCATAAATCCTATATTATAAATGAGGGAGAGAACTACACAGATGTGTAGACAAAGAAATGAATGTGCTGAATTGGGGTTGGGGGAAAAAAACCTTAAAGAGACTCTCCAATCCATTTTTAACTCTATCCTAAAAATTCCAATCAGAATTTTAACAAAATAATGAACCTCTAACAAATACTCTGATTTCAGGGCTGGGAGGCTACACTGATAACAGTAAGGTATGACCCTGTTTTAAGGATCAGTGGGAATTCATTTTGGGTTTTAAAAAATTTTAACAAGCATTCACTGAACACCTATTAATCGTGGTGCCAGGCTCTATGAGAGAGAGGCAAGAAGGGAAGATGCAAAACTTCAGCAGAACAGAACCACCACCCAGTTCTCAAAGTATAAATAATGAGAACAGAGAAAATGGTTTTACCTTAATATGCCCTGACTGTCGCCATACCAGAATGAAGAGAACCCAAGGTGGAGCCCAGAGAGAGGGCAGTGAAGGCAGAAAGCGGCAAGGAGAGGGTCACCAGAACTGAGCACCAAAGCAGTCTTGCCCTAAGCCCAGGCAATTGGGTCAGACAGATGGAGGAGAGGGTGTGTGTGTGGAAAAATAAATGTCCTTGGGCCTTTTCCAAGAGCAAGGGGAAAGGTGCCAACCAAAGGAGGGATAGGATTTGTTTGGAGTGAGAGAAACTGGCTCTGGCAGGACAGCCTGGGACTAAACCCCAGGAAACAGGCAGTCCTGGGGCGCCTGGGTGGCTCAGTGGGTTGAGCCTCTGCCTTCAGCTCAGGTCATGATCTCAGGAGCCTGGGATCGAGCCCCGCATCGGGCTCTCTGCTCAGCAGGGAGCCTGCTTCCCCTTCTCTCTTGCCTGCCTCTCTGCCTACTTGTGATCTCTCTCTCTGTCAAATAAATGAATAAAATCTTTAAAAACAAAAACAAAACAAAACAAAACAAAAAAACCAGGCAGTCCTGAGAAAGTGGTACTATGGGTGAGCCACTCCAAGGCAAATTCACTCCTAAACACCTCCTTTACTGTTTTTTTTTTTTTCCTTTTTAAAAAAGATTTTTGTCAGAGAGAGAGAGAGAGAAAACAAGCAGGGGGAACAGCAGGCAGAGGGAGAAGCAGACTTCCCTGCTGAGCAGGGAGCCTGATGTGGGACTTGATCCCAGGACCCTGGGATCATGACCTGAGCCAAAGGTAGATGCTTAACCAACTGAGCCACCCAGGCATCCCTTTCCTCTTTTTTAAAAGATTTTATTTATTTGGGGTGCCTGGGTGGCTCAGTCACTTAAGTGTCTGCCTTCGGCTCAGGTCATGATTCCGGGGCCCTGGGATTGAGCCCCGTGTCAGGCTCCTTGCTTAGCGGGGAGCCTGCTTCTCCCTCTCCTTCTGATGCTCCCAGTCCTTGTGCCCTGTCAAATAAATAAATAAAAATTAATTTAAAAATTTTATTTATTTATTTGACAGAGGGAGAGACAGCAAGAGAGGGAACATAAGCAGGAGTGTGAGAGGGAGAAGCAGGGAGCCTGATGTGGGGCTTGATCCTAGGACCCTGGGATCATGACCTGAGCCGAAGGCAGACGCTTAAGGACTGAGCCACTCAGGCGCCCCTCCTGGTTTTTTTTTTTTTTTTTCAATAGCCATTTTTAGCTCTCTTTGTAAAGCTAATCATATGACTGCAGTGAACCATTTATGGAGTGCATATGATGTACTAAGCACTACATTTAGGAATTTACTTGGGTTATCTCATTTAGTTCACACATCAGTCTTAGGAGGACACTTTTAGTGTCCTCCCCTTTCCAGTGATGAGAGAATGAAAGCTCAGAGAGGTGAGCCCAAAATTATGTAGCTTTAAAGTGGCAGAGCTGGAACTTGAATCCATTATAGAGTTAAAAGTAAAAAGAGATCTCTAAATAGCTTAACTCATCTGCCACAGTGGCAAGGATAATAAACTAACTCTGGTCTTTGCTATATTATTCCTAGATTGGGTGACTTCAGAGAAATCTCTTAGGAATCCTGCAAGATGAGATGGGAGCAAGGGGTCTGACCCCGTGTTACTCTCTCCTAGAAAAGTGGTCTTGGGAAGAAGAGGGATTCCCTCTTGTCTTCAGACTGCCTTCCCCCTTTCTCTGACTTTTCTCGTAGGCCTTTTCTTTCACAGAAAGCTCAAATAGGATGACCAACATTCTGAAGAGTTATCTATATACCTCCTCCAACGGGGGAAGACCTATGAACCCCAGGTCCTTTGTCTCCTCATCATCACTCAGAACTCATCACGTGTCCACTCCGTCAAAGTCAGGCAAAGCATAACAAACTCGAACTCCTTCCTTGGACAAATGCTTTGCTCAGTATCATAAATTAAAAACCTTTTTAGTTAGAAGAGGAGATTATACATGCCTTTTGGATTATCTTCTGAGAAAATAAGGAACTCACAGGGATTTGAAATCTGTTTCACCCTTTTCACCCTACGGTGAGGGAATAAGAGATGTGATCACCCCTAAAACAACCAATGTGATATTCCATGGTTAAGGATCATAGTTTATATTCCGGGTGTGGAAAAAAAAGAAAAGTTCACAAGCTTGCCTGTCCATTTCCCACTGTAGCTTACCCACAATTCCTATCTTGAGACTACTCCTACACATCGTTTTAATTCAGTCTGGTGGGCATGTGGACTCATCGCTTTCAGTCGCTTGTTAACAAGCTGAGCCAAGACCAGGGGTAGGTGTCAACTGTGCTGCCACCAGCCATGGAAACACAGTAAAAAGTGAGGGCGCAACCTCCTACTTTTTCACTGCTTTTAAAAAGTAGGGATCTGAAATAACTTCTGTCAAAGCCAAGTTCCAAGACACCCAGCCACAGTGCCTGTATAAGGTCATCAAGTACAGAAGTTCCTCTACTTTGCAAATTTCCATTGGTACAAAGGTCATGACAGAAAACTAGACGGCTGCTACCAACAGGAGTGCAGTAGCCTCTTGCATGACATCACTTTGGATCCATAAATGAATGGACTGGCCCAGTCCGGTCTCTGGAAAAATAACATGTCTAAACTAAGATGCTCCCAGGCCTGCTGAACTGAGAAATGCTGCACCTAACCCAGGAGTGCCACCGTGGGGCTAGTTTCCTGCTTTTGTCACTTTGCTCTCTCACCCATACAAAGTAATCTCCTCCCCCCTCCCCAAGTCATCTTAAAGTGTGTGTGTGTGTCAACTTAGTAATAGCCCTTTCCATAAAAAGGAAACAAAGTCTCTATGTGAAAAAACTGATACAAGAAAATGGAACATACCCAAGACTTACCCAGCTATTCCCAAGAAACCTCGCAACGGTAACACTCCCCAAATAACACCTAGGACCACAGCAATGATCTGTCGGAACCAGTAGATCACATCTAGAAATTCATCCTGTAGAAAGAAAGAATGCATGCATTATCTGCAGTGAATGCCACATGAAAGAAAGCCTCTGTAATAGGTGAGGAATAAAAAAGCTTGCTGCTATAAACACATTTTCCATAGAAATGTCTCCAAGAGCAATGGTACGTAGTTTTCTGATCTCCACTTCTTCTTATACTAAAACATGGTTTAAAAGAAAAAAAAAAAGATATATTTCTCTTAAGTGATGACTTTTGGGCCTGTGGGCTAAGTAAAAATTCTAGGGAAATTATTTACTTTTTTTAGAAGCTTCAAAAATGAAATGGCTTGTGATGAAATGGCTGTGAAAGTAACTGTGCTACTGGCCACAGAACACTGACCCTCAGGGGAGAGACCTAGGCACACTATCCATAGGCAGAAGGGCTGACTGTTAACCTTCTCAGCACCATCTTCCTGCGCACTGAATTTTAAGCAACAAAGAAAGGAATTAGAAACAAAAGTGCTGAAGGCAGGTGCCAGCGTATCTGATTTTCATACAAGGACGCTGAAGACTCAGGTTTCCGACCTGCCCCAGATTGCAGAAACCAGTCCTTGTACAAGAAGGAAGAAAGAAATGACACAGCAGATCATAAAAGGTTTTGCAAGAGCCGGGCAGGGCTGGGGGCAGGACAAGGGGACCTTCAGGAAGTACCTCCCATTCCCCCCACCCAAGAGCTCCAGGAAGGAGAACCCACTTCAACAGTCCAGAAAAACAAGGGAAAAACTGCAAATATAACATTCTTTTCAGGCCAACTGGAATCAAGCTGTCTGTGCTGGTCCCTTCCAGATCATGGGGCTGAGCTGGGGAGTGCCTACACTCAGATCTCCTGAAAGCGTGTGACCAGTGTAAAAATCTTGAAGCCCCAATAGTCTCTCAACACACATTTGGTGGTTTCCCCCTCTCCCTTCCTCTCTCACACACCTCCAAGAGGTGGTTTCAATCTCTCTTCTTGCAGTTATTAAGGCATTTGGTATTTCTCATCTAATTAAAAGCAATGGCAGCTCACCTTCAGTAAGCCTCATCACGTGCTAAAGGCTTTCCTGTACCACGGTACCCCACTCCAGAGCTGTTCTGAGAACTGAGTGAAACAGTGCGTGGAGAGAGCACCTGGCAGAAAGTCTTCGATAGAAGACTGTTACCGTTACTGTTCGTACTAACGACCGTATTAAGTAATTAATTCGGAGAAGACAAGCCACTTACTGAAGATCCTACTGGGAGCAAAAGGCGGAGGTCGAATTCAGCTCACTCTCGCCGTTCAGGCACACGCCCTGCCTGCGGGTGGCAACTCCTGTGCCACCTCCTCGCTGCTTCTCGCGTGACCCAGTCGGCTTCACTCCGCGGTGAGCCCCGAGCCCGGCTGTCAGGCCCCGGTCCGCCAAGTTCGCCCCGACACCTTAGTGCCACCACCACGCCGTCCCACCCCGCCCCGACCCAACACACGCCAAACACTCCGCCGCGCCTGGACCCGGTAGGCTCGGGCCTGTCCACTCGTCCCCGAGTCCCAACCGGCTCCTCGAACCTGCGCCCTCGCCAAGTCCCACCGCACCTTGTCCTCCCAGGCCGCGTCGCTCCGCAGCACCTTGCTCCAGACAGAGACTTTAAGGGCCCCGTTGGCCAGCGGCGGCTGAGGCGGCTCCTCCTTTCGCCGCCCGCCGCTCATCCTCCCGTCGCGCCGCCCGGGCCGGGCGAGGGGCGCGCGGGTCAGGCCAAAAGGAGTCGGGCTCTGGGGTCGCGAATCACGGCGCGCAGGGCGGCGGCGACAGCGACAGCTACAGAATCACTGGTCAGGCTCCGTGGCGCGCTGCTGCTGCCTTCACTTGGCCAAAACGCCGGCTCAGCTCGCTGGCTCCGCCGAGACCAGGGACTGCGGAGGGAGGGGCAACGCAGCGCCGCACGTCCTCCCGCCGACGAACCCACGCAGCCAATCGACAGCCGTGCAGCCGTCCGAGGGAAAGCGCAGCCGTCACCTCCGCGCAAGCGCTCTACGCGCGACGGAAGTGACGCCAAGCTTCCGCCAGGCGCTCGGTATGGTGAGAGGGAAGGGACAGTCTAGGTGGGGATGGTGACGCGAGCGCGGGGAGGCGCTGTGGCGACTGGAGAACGGCATCTGGATAGAGAGTCGAGGTTAGACTTGAGCGTCGCCCAGCCCTCCACGGTTTGTCCCCTACAGCAGCGGGGCAGAACGCTGCCCTGTTTATCCGCGTCTTTTGGAGCCCAACACTGGCTCCCCGGAAGTCCCAAGCCTCCCCTTCAGGATTTAGTCCTTGCTCGTTTTCTCCCTTAATTCCTAGGACCCTAGTCCAGATGTAAACTGTTTTCTGTATTAATTTCGTGTCTCATCTTGGCCCAGCACCCTTTTTTGGCAAATGCGAGACCCGAGATCCAAAAAGCGGAAAGGATTTTCTAAGGCTACATGGCAAGTTGGAACCGGCTGAGAACTCCGGAGGCAGGGGGCGGGGGCGGGGGAGTGGAGGAAGGACTTCATTAGCTCTCAGAATATCTGAGTATACATCTACTATGACCTCAGCCTGTGCTAGGACAGTGGTTCACAACGTGTGTGTGTGGACCACCAGCAGCCACATCACGTAGGAACTTGACTAGACGTGAAGATTCTCAGATCCATTCCCAGAACCACCAAATCAGAAATTGTTGGGAGTGCGGCCCATTATCAGCATTTTGGTAAGCCCTCCAGGTGGTGCCCTGTGCATTGTACTATGAATTAAGTTGAGACCAAGGTACTTCTGTGTGGTGGGCAAACTAATGTGTCTGGAATCACTCAACTAGTATCTGGGTCTGTCTGACTCCAAAATCTGTACTCCTAACCTTAAACTTTTAGTCGTTGTTTTTTGTTTTTTGTTTTTAAGATTTTATTTATTTATTTGAAAGAGAGAGTGAGCGAGACAGAGCATGAGCAGGGGGAGTGGGAGAAGCAGACTCTACTGCTGAGCAGGGAGCCTGACGTGTGGCTTGATCCCAGGACCCCAGGATCATGACTTGAGCCAAAGGCAGTCACCCAAGCAACTGAGCCACTCAGGTGACCCTAAGGTTTTAGTCTTAAAGGATATCAGTGAGGTCGGAATGTCCTTTGTATACCTGTCAACATTGACCTATAGTTCTCCCCCTAGCTGAACAACAGAATCTCCTAGGGAGCTTCTTCCATGGTTGGTGTTTCCAACCGCAACTCAATTCCAAGATCCTCTTCCAATAGATTGAGTGAAGCAGGACCTCAAAGGTGACATACACAGCAACAGACGTTACTCTGTCTGGACCTGATGGGAGGGACATACACCTGACATGAATCCATACCTTTTAGTCCCCCAGCTTTCACGTGGATCTTGTTCTTCCCAGCCCTGCCTTTTTTCTGAACCTTGTTCTCTCCCATATGCAAAACTGTGGTAAAGTCTAACCAGCTCACTCCAGTTTGGAAGTGTACCGTTGGTATAAAACCTCTTTTACAGATTCCCTGGGGGCACGCAGTGATGGAGACAAACTGATCATTCATTCTGTCATAGAATGTTGGAAGAATACCTAGCCCAAGATCCAAGACAGAATAGGTAAGTTTTCAGTCTGCTGGGCCTGGTAGTAAAAGTTTGTAATGGGGAGTTTGGTGTGGAGGGTTAGGAAAGATAGAGCTCTAAAGGAAAAGTAGGAGTTAAGGGGATGAGGGAGGGGAAGAGAAGAGAGCGTTCCAGGAGGTGAAACCATGTCAGCTACTGGTGGGGAATAAAGACCTTAGTTGGGAAGGAGTGGGAGGGGCATGCTGAAGAATTTTTGTCTTTTCCAGTTTCATTGAAAAATAATTGACGGAGCGCCTGGGTGGCTCAGTGGGTTAAGCCTCTGCCTTCGGCTCAGGTCATGATCTCAGGGTCCTGGGATCGAGCCCCAAATCAGGCTCTCTGCTCAGTGGGGAACCTGCTTCCCCCCCATCTCTCTGCCTGCCTCTCTGCCCACTTGTGATCTCTCTCTGTCAAACAAATAAATTAAAAAAAGAGAAAGAAAAACAATTGACATATATCACCTTATATAAGTTTCAGGCCTACCTCTTGATGGTTTGATTTACATATATTGTGAAATGATATGGTTCAGCTAATTAATAGGTTCAACTAATTTCGTCTTTTCATATAGATACAATGAAAAGAGAAGAAGAAAAAAAATGTGATGAGAAGTCTTAGGATTTATTCTTTTAACAATTTTCCAGTGTATCAGTACAGCATTGTTAACTGTCGTCCTCATGTTGTACCTTACATCCTTACTATTTATTTATTTATCTCACCTGGAAGTTTGTATCTTTTAACCACCTTCCTCCATTTCCTCCTCCCTCCACCATCCACCTCTGGTAACCACAAGTCTGATCTCTTTTTCTGAGTCTGTTTTTTAAGATTCCACATGTGAGATTGTACAAATACACATGTGTATTTGTCTTTCTCCATCTGACTTATTTTTACTCAGCATAAACCTCCAAGGTCTATACATACACAAATGGTAGGATTTCCTAATTTTTTGTGGCTGAATAATATTCCATGGTGTGTAGGGATGCCTGGGTGGCTCAGTTGGTTAAGCGGCTGCCTTCGGCTTAGGTCATGATCCCAGGGTCCTGGGATCAAGTCCCGCATGGAGCTCCTTGCTCGGCGGGGAGCCTGCTTCTCCCTCTGCTTCTGCCTGCCACTCTGTCTGCCTGTGCTCACTCTCTATCTCTCTCTCTGACAAATAAATAAATAAAATTAAAAAAAATATATATTCCATGGTGTGTATAGCCCAACTTCTTTATCCATTCATTTGTTGAAGGACACTTAGGTTGTTTCCATGCTTTGGTCATTGTAAATAATGCTGCTGTGAACATGCAGATATCTTTTCGAGTTAGTGTTTTTATTTCCTTATTTCTTAGTGTTATATATTCCCAGAAGTGGAATTGCTGGATCATAGAGTGTTTCTATTTTTAATTTTTTGAGGGTCTTCCATATTGTTTTCCATAGTGGCAGCACCAATTTACATTCCCGCCAATAGTGCACAAGGGTTCACTTTTCTCCAGCCCCATAGATGTGAGGCTGGACCTCCCCCCTTGTCTTTTTGGTCATGGCCATGAAGAATTTATTTTTGTCCCAACAGTGGAGGAAGCCACAGAAAGGATTTGAGCAGCGACACTTCACTTTTCCGGTTTGCCTCTTAACAAGATCACTTTGGCTGCTATTCGGAGGACAGGATCAGAGTGGGAGACTAGTTTAAAGACTGTTAAACTCAGGAGATACTGGCGGGGGCACTGATGATGGAGACAATTGGAATAAAAAAGAAAATTATTATTTATTTATTTACTTATTTTAAAAAGGTTTTATTTATTTGAAAGAGAGTGAGCGAGAGAGAGCGAGAGAGAGCACATGAGCAGGAGAGAGGGAGAAGCAGACCCCCTGCTGAGCAGGGAGCACAATGTGGGGCTTGATCCCAGGGTTCTGGGATCATGACCTGAGCTGAAGGCAGATGCATAACCAACTGGGCCATCCAGGTGCCCCAAATTCTTTTTTAAACTTAAATCTTTTTTTACTTGCTGTAGAGTATACATAAAAATTTTTTACCATTTTTAAGTGTACAGTTTGGTGGTACAGGGAAGTACATGTACTCTGTTGTGTAGATGCTACCACCATCCTTTTTTTTTTTTTTTTTTTTAAGATTTTATTTATTTGACGGACAGAGATCACAAGGCAGAAAGGCAGGCCGGGGAAGGGGAGGAAGCAGACTCCCTGCTGAGCAGGGAGCCTGATGCTGGGACAGGACCATGGGATCATGACCTGAGCCAAAGGCAGAGGCTTTAACCCACTGAGCCATCCATTTTCAGAACTCTTTCATCTTGCAAAACTGAAAGTTTTGTGCCCTCAAACTAGTAACTTCCCAATCTCTCTTTGTCCCTGCCCCTAACAACTGCCATTCTACTTTCTGTCCCAAATTTTCCTAAGTACCTTATTAAGAGTGGAATCACACCGTGTTAGTCCTTTTCTGATTTAATTATTTCAGTTAGCATACTGTCTGCAGGATTCATCCCTGGTATAGCCAGTGTCAGAATTTCCTTCCTTTTTGAGGCTGAATGATAATATCACTAAATATTTGTTAGGTGTTCATTGTATATATTGTTAGCCTTAAAAATAAAACTCACTGGGGCACCTGGGTGGCACCTCTGCCTTTGGCTTAGGTCATGATCTCCAGGTTCCTGGGATTGAGCCAGGCATTGGGCTCTCTGCTCAGCGGGGAGTCTCCTTCCCCCTCTCTCTGCCTGCCTCTCTGCCTACTTGGGATCTCTCTCTGTCAAATAAATAAATAAAATCTTAAAAAAAAAAAACAAACAAACTCACCTATTTTCCTGGCAAAAATGAGTTTATTTGGGAATAGCAGAGTATTGCTATTTGGGACACCCAAACTACAACAAAATGGTAGGGAAATCTGGAGAACAAAGGAGAGAAACTTGCTTTTATAGAAGAAAGGGAGTGGGGAGTGGCTTTTATAAACAAAAAATCCAAGTTGGATTAATCTAGGAGTTTGAAGTCTGTGGGTTTTCATTGGCTGTAACAGTTGTAATGGTCTTTCATTGACTGGGATGTTGCTGGGCAAGGAGAAGATCTTTCTTCCTTTTGTCAGGGTAGTGAAAAATAGGTTTCTTCCTTTTGGGAGTGCAAGGTATGTCTTTCTGTTGGGGCCTGCAGTTGATGAAGACTTACAGGGTGTGAGAGCTCCTTCTGCTGGCCTCCCAACTCCATTTTATTATTTAATTTTTAAAAAAGATTTTCTAAAGATTTTATTTATTTGACAGAGAGGGAGAAAGCCGGAGAGGCAACACAAGCAGGGGGAGTGGGAGAGGGAGAAGCAGGCTTTCCACAGAGCAGGGAGCCCGATGGAGGG